CCCCCACACCCCAAGGAGCAGCACCGCAGTTTTCCACAGGAAATTGAGAATTGTCTCATTTGGAGTTGGGCCAAATCAAACTAAAGTTCTTATTGTCCCGTTTCTCGGCAGAAACCATCCTAGACCGGGTGTGTGTGTGTGACCGTTTTTCTGCCTTCCCAGCGGGGAACACTAGAATCAACACCAGATTCAACGGGAAGGAGCCCGATCCTCTGAGCATCAGAACCCAGAAGAAAGCATCCTTTACTGTCTGCCGCACGTCTCCCCAATGATCCCCCCCCCCAATACCTGAGCTGGCTGCATGGCGGCTCTTTTCCCTTCAGCATACAGAGGTGAGGGTGGAGGAGGGATCCGCAGTGTCCTTCCGCTCCTGCCTGGGAGGGAGAGAGAGAAAGAAAGAAAGAGGGTCGGAAACCCTTTTGGCTCCACGCACATTTTCCATGCCAGTCCCTAAGAACATAAGAGCATAAGAGACGCCAATGTTGGATCAGGCCAAAGGCCCATCCAGTCCAACACTCTGTGTCACACAGTGGCCAAAAATACCCGGTGCCATCAGAAGGTCCAGCAGTGGGGCCAGGACACCAGAAACCCTCCCACTGTTGACCCCCCAAACACCAAGAAGACAGAGCATCACTTGCCCCAGAGCCCCTATCTATACCTTGTGGCTAATAGCCACCGATGGATCTCTCTGCTCCATGTGCTTATCTAATTCCCTTTTGAAGCCGTCCATGCTTGTAGCTGCCACCACTTCCTGTGGCAGTGAATTCCAAGTGTTCATCACTCTTTGGGTGAAGAAGGACTTCCTTTTATCCGTTCTAACCCGACCGCTCAGCAATTTCACAGAGTGCCCACGAGTTCTTGTATTGTGAGAAAGGGAGAAAAGTACCTAAGCACTTTAACCTTTCCTCATAGGGAAAGTGTTCCAACCCTTTTATAATTCGAGTTGCCCTTTTCTGCACTTTTTTCTAAGCTATAATATTCTTTTTAAGGTGTGGTGACCAGAACTGCACACAGTATTCCAAATGAGGTAGCACCATTGATTTATATAGGGTCATTATGATATTGGCTGATCTGTTTTCAATACCCTTCATAAGAACATAAGAGACGCCAATGTTGGATCAGGCCAAAGGCCCATCCACTTCAACATTCTGTGTCACACAGTGGCCAGAAATACCACTGCCATCAGGAGGTCCACCAGTGGGGCCAGGACACTAGAAGCCCTCCCACTGTTGACCCCCCCCAAGCACCAAGAAGACAGAGCATCCCTTGCCCCAGAGCCCCTATCTATACCTTGTGGCTAATAGCCACTGATGGACCTCTGCTCCATATGCTTATCTAATTCCCTTTTGAAGCCGTCCATGCTTGTAGCCACCACCACCTCCTGTGGCAGTGAATTCCATGTGTTAATCACTCTTTGCGTGAAGAAGTACTTCCTTTTATCCGTTCTAACCCAACCGCTCAGCAATTTCATGGAGTGCCCACGAGTTCTTGTATTGTGAGAAAGGGAGAAAAGTACCTCTTTCCCCACCTGCTCTATCCCATGCATAATCTTATAAACCTCGATCATGTCACCCCTCAGTAGTCATTTCTCCAAGCTAAAGAGCCCTAAGCACTTTAACCTTTCCTCATAGGGAAAGTGTTCCAACCCTTTTATCATTCGAGTTGCCCTTTTCTGCACTTTTTCCAAAGCTATAATATCCTTTTTAAGGTGTGGTGACCAGAACTGCACACAGTATTCCAAAAAAGGATATTATAGCTTTGGAAAAAGTGCAGAAATGGGCAACTCGAATGATAAAAGGGCCCAGAGAGCCAGCGTCAAGGCCTGGTATATCTAGTGAAAGAGATCTCAGGCGGAACAGGGCTGCCAAACACCCTGGCCTGAAAAACTCTGCCTTCTAGAGTGGACAAGACTGGGTCAGACTTAGGGCCATAAGGCAAAAGGAAACTGCCTCTTGTCCCAGTTTAAATTTATTTATTTATTTATGCTTTCGACTTGTATCCCGCTCAAACCCCGAGGGGTCTCTGAGCGGCTTACACAATTTCTGTATCCCTATCTATGGCCACATAGTCAGGGGTGGGGGCTGCACTACCAGCACCCAGTGGTGGGACTTGCTGTTTCTCGGCTCGGCCCTGGCTCGGCTCGGCTTCGGCTCCTCTTCTTCTTACGGTAGTCCTCAGCATCCACAATTCACCCAAGCTCTTTTCAGGGCAATCCACCCAAGCTCTTTTCAGGGCAAACCGTGAGGTTAAAGACGGCCACCGAAATTCACCAGCCGTTCCAAGGAAGGCGCAGGCAACACACCGTCTCATGACAGATATCTATAAGCCCCTACCTTCCAATCCCTCCTCTTCATCACAGCCAGGGAGAAACGGTCCTTCCTCTTCCTCCAGCCAGGATATGAGGTCAGGTTTGGCAATCAGGTGTTCTGTTTATTAGGAAAACACACAAACTCACACGCACACACAAATTAGACCTCTTCTGAGTGCCCATGAATCCAACAATTCCAAGCCAGATCCACTGTCCCTTCAGAACCACACAACAGACAAGTATAGAGACATAGATTATAGATAGATCCGTAAAGATGGAAGGGGCCCTTACAAGGCCATCTAGCCCAACCCCCTGCTCAATGCAGGATCAACCTAGACCAGGGGTGCCAAACTGTGGCTCGGGACCCACATGTGGGTCTTTCACACATATTATGTGGCTTCTGACAGGGGCAGCTGGGGAAGCAAACCGTTTTCCTTTCCCCAGCCAGGGTTCCCCTTCCTGGGTCGGCTTGAGGTGGGGGGGTGTGGGGGGGGGGGGGGGGGGGGGGGGGAGTAGAGAAAGAAAGCAACTTTAACTGTAAATGCATTCTCAAAGCCCCCCCCCACAAGCCTACAGATATCATTGGACAAATAAACATCGTTGTCAGTATCTGTTTTTACTCCTTTCGTTTTTATTTTTGGCAGTCTCATTTAACATTCCTTTGCATCTCTTCCAATAAAAACATGTCTGTGATATTTGTCCGTGTCATGCGATGCTCAGACATCTGAGGTTTAGCCTAGGCGGCTCTTATGTCAAGGATGTTTGGCCACCCCTGGCCTATAGTAACCCTGACCAGAGTTTGTCCAGCCGCTGCTTCAAGACTGCAAGTGAGGGAGAGCTCGACTCCTCCCTAGGCAGCGGATTCCACTGTTGCACAACTCTGACTGTAAAAAGAACATAAGAACGTAGGGGCTCTTTTTGTAGCAGGAACTCCTTTGCATAT